ACTTTTTACGCAGATTGTAGCACTACGTAATGTTACACAAACTAACAGTAGATGTTTTAAGGAATTCACAGAAATGACAATGATAGATAATGTAACGCATACTAGTATACACTATACAGCACAAAATAAAGAGTAACAGTAATGTAGTCGTCTTTGGCCGGGTGTGGCAAGTTATAGTACGTACATGTATCGGTTCAATCTTTAACGGGTAAGTAGACAGCAACAAGCAAGATGCATAGGTTCTATTACTTTTGTAGCTCACTACTTGCGTCTAGATTTGGGACGAACCCATGTTACTTTTTCGCCGCAGATTTTCATGTAGTGGTTACTTCGACAGCCTTTCCGCTGACGCAAACATACTAGTTTGAGGTTCCACAGTTCTTACAACATTAGCGCTTGAAGTGGTGTTTTCCAAGTTTGTTGGTCTGGTGATGTTGTCTTTGTTGGCTTGTTGTCTGTCATTTCCCTCCATTTTTATGTTTGGCGGCCCGTCTTCGATGGGTTGGGTTTGGTTCACCAAGGACATTATTGGGTTCACAAATGTCGGCTTCGCTAAGATCCGTTTCTTCCCGTACGTAGTGGTCGCTCCATTAGCGCTAGTGCAGCCACATTTGAATGTGTAAAACTTCATGTCTACAGTCCCGTTTTGATTCGTTCATCAAAGTAGATTTTACTAAGGTATGACTTTACTAACTGATTGTGGAAGTACTAGTACTTAGTACTGATGTAAACAAGAAACAATATACGCGCTCTGGTTGAGTTCATGGCATTTACATGAAACAAGGTGCTAATAGCCGCTAGTCGGTGACGCGTCAGCAGCCCTCTGATTGGTCCCCGCTAGAAATCTACTGGATGTCATATAGTGTACACGGGAGGGGGGCATCTTACCAATCTGTCCCTGTCCAGAAGGAAGACTGTTACAGTCTTGTCAAAGGATCCCGAGGCGAGCCGCCTCCCGTCGCAGCTCCAGGCGACTGAGTGGACCTTTGAGGAGTGTGCGCTGAAGTCTTTCGTTCTTCCGTTACTTTTGAAGTAGCTTTGTTGTTCCTCGAGGTAGCGAGAGTACGCTTCAAAATCCAGACTCCCCGCCATCACGACTGCACGCACAGCCTAGTGGGACTGACCGGAGTTACCATTCAAATCCAGGGGGGTTCTGGAATAAAAGTTATCCTCAAAATTTGAGGGCATGAAGGACACGTTGTATATTAAGCACAATTGAGCTGGAATATCTTGATAGTAACATTTAGTATATAAATCATCACTTTTATTACTTGAGTATCCTTTTTCTTGCTTTTTATAAAGATTAGTAATATTTCTACCCCTTTGAGAATAATATAGCACACTCCGAAACAAAGATGGCAGCGCACTGTGGAAAGGAAAATTTTGACCCATGCTGAAAGTTTTCCTCGGTTTTAATTTGTTTTCGTTGAAATTGTCCAGCCTACGGTAGCCAATTTCTAAGTTTAGATTTGTAATTTCAAGCATGCATTGAATGGGATTCTCGTACGATAGAAGCTACACTAATCATGGAAAAGTTTGGTGTTAATATAACTTGATATTAACTTCATTAATTTGTAGCATTACCCCTGACAACCCCCACTGTCGACTGCCTGAGTTGGGTGCTATTTTTGTTGTTACAGGAGGACACTATGAATAGTAGTATCATGAAAACAGAATACATGTCCGCTCCAGTAACTGCATTAGCCTTTGCTGGGGATCTACTTCTCGCAGGTAATAACATAATGAAGTTGATGTTGATTGTTTTATTTCATGCCGTATCTGAATGTTTGATGTATTACTAGGTTATTCTTATTATTAATTAGCAGGAATTTTATCGTGTATCTTTCAAGTATTGATTTAGTGAAATTAAGTTAAACGTTATAAAAGTGATGTTATATGTCATGTATATGTTTGATCAAGGAGCTTCTGTGTAGAAGTTCCATGGTTTGATGTAACAGTACAATTGATGGCACCCAATATCAGTAATATAATGCTGGCTGGGTAGCCCATTGTATTGCATTGTTGGAATTCCAATAGATACCAAAGTTAATGAAAAATAAAGTAAAGTGTACTAGCTGTTGTTTCAGCTCAAGGCAAGAAAGAAGAACTAAATTTGTCAGCCCATGGAGGTAGAAAATGTTTTCTACCTCCATGGTTAGCCTTATGATTGAATAAGTATGACATCAAAATGAAGATACCTTCATGGAGATGCACCTAAACTTATTAGTTTGGCACTGAAGATACTATGTTATGTATCCCACATACGTAAAACAGTAAACAATATTGTAAACAAGGACCACAAGTTTGCAACACAAGTTGAAGTTAACTTTATTCCATATGTATGCATGGGTTTTACTTAGGTCCCGGCTCCAATAATGGCCAATTAATAATAGCAAGCTTTTTCTTTGCTGACCCAAATGTCCAATAGCAACCTTTTCTCGTGTTCTGTTCAGGTGAAGGTCCATGTCTCCACCTGTATGATGTCACATCCACAGAACACCTGCAGGTGCACCAGGTGCTGAAACATGCCAACATACATGGCATTAGAACAGGTGAGACCATTCTGATGAGCTGTACATGTGGCTCCTTGATTTTGGTCCAGTTTAGTAGTACTTGGCAATACAGAAACATGCCTTGACATTGTAAGAAATATAGTTATAGCCAGGAAATGTTTCAATGATAGAAACAAGAAATCACAAAAATTTATCTCATTTTACTTCTTGGAATAAATGTGTCCAGTTCTGACATTACAGACAGTTATGACATGTATGTTTGCTACTGCAGATGACGGTGGGAAAGACTGTTGGAATGTTGCTTTGTTTGGACAAAAGACTCTACAACTAGTCCAAATAAGACACAATGAAAGTGCAGTACACAGGTAAGAAATGTGTGCTGTACATGATGTATATTATACATGTAATCATTGAAGGGTAAACCACAATCATTTCAGGATGATTTATTATTGACATTTATATGTGCAGATAAATTTTTAAAAAATCTTTTGACAGTAATAGTAGTACTAATAGTAATACAGTAATTGTACTAGAATTGAATTCACTGATTGTAGAATCTGACTGTTGTAACTTTCAGAGAAAGTGTCCTTGTGAGACCAGATCATCATGGAGAATGTGAAGTTCATGACTGGATCTGGGATGTCTGTTGGCTGCTTCCTCACCAAACACTGGGAAAGGTACAAATAATACAACTTTACAATGATGTTATAAACTGTATACAATCCGTATACTGTACTACCAGTATGTGTTTTCATTTGCTTTCAATACATGTATCCATTAACATAGATTTGGTACATTGTAGATGAAGCAACAAGAAAATATTTCTCACACAGTCACAGACTGAGGTACTCCTGTTTTCCAGGATGTGAGACAGTTAGCCTTGGCCCTTGGTCACAACACTGTGGTCTTATGGGATGCCAAGGCCAAGAGGAGCATCAGAGAGGTTCACTGCCAGGAGAAGTGTATTCTGTATCCTTCATTTCTTTCTGTTTGATCAAATGTATATTCAGACCTTTTTCACACCTCTGCTTGAAGGCTTTTTCAAGAGATCCCAAGAGGGCATTGTAAATATGTTGTCAGGGATTTAAAAAAAATGTCCTATAAAAGAAATGGATGGATTGTTCAGGATGTAGTCAGAGAATTTGTTGATCTTCTTTTCATTTGTTCTCCAGTAACCTAGTCTCAGACAACCACTTCCCTTCAGCAGTCTTCATCTTGCCCAACTACAATGCACTGAAGCTGTACTAGTAACAGTTTCCATAACCTTTAATATCTTCAGTTAGTTCAGTATCAGACCTTGACTCACACTGCCAGCTACTGTGCCCACTTTATTGGCAGCTCCTGGCCTGACCTTGTGCTTGCAGCTGGTACTGTGTTCAGGGAGGTGGTATTATGGAAGCCATTTGGCCAGGAGGAAGACCAAGATTGTGTGTCTGTTCTACAGAGAATAACTGGACATCAGGTAGAAAATGAATATACAAGGCTTGGTTATACAACTACTTTTATTCACAGGCATACGCAGTGTTTGATTTTGAATATTATACTTGATTAGATTGCTTGACAATATTAATTTTAATGCCCGTTGAACAGCAGTGCTTTTGTTTCATTCATTTTCCTTGCTTAACACATCTGTGAATTCAGTAATTTTTCGCGATATACACTGTAGCTGTAAACTACTTGAGACTGATTGACAGTAGTAGTAGTAGTATATAAAGTAAGTGGGAAAAGTTGTTTTATTCTCCTGTTGTCACTGGCTACCTTTCCATTAAGTATCTTTTCTATGTGGACAGGGTGTCATATTTTCTGTGTGCTACCATCCACCTACCGGGCGGCTGTGTACGGCATCTGATGACAGGAGTGTGCGGCTGTGGCAGGTGGCAGGGCCACAACAGCAGGTGCTGGACACCAGAAAAGGTTTCCTGTCTTGTTGTACTTTGTTTTGAATGATTCTGATCACTCCAATTCAGCTAGATAAGTTACTGGGAATTGGTAAGTTTTGGAGTGGTTTAAATTTTATTTTGCTGTAGGAGAAAAAGGGTGTTTTTCACAATTTATGAATTTATGGTTGAACTTGAAGCAATTCTGTATAGTACAGTAGTCATACAACAAGGGAGACTAACAACATGTGTTCTCAGTGCCATGAATTTGCAGTGGTCACAGCAAAAACTGAAAAGAAAACCATCAGGATAGTTTCACAATATACACTACATAATGGAAAATTGCATTTAAGATCATAACTGTTAATTTGAATTGGACTGCACAATCATCCAGCAATATTAGTGGAGAAATAAATACAAGTGTTACTTGAGTTTGTCACAGTGTCATCATGATCACAAGCAAATGTGATGTATTTAGCTCTTTATTGTGACCATTTAGTCATTGTTTGAAACTGATGAATAATGCTTGTGTAGCAAATGTGAATTTTAGTTCTTTTATAAGATAATTGTGTTTCCTACAGATATGGGTACTGTTGGACAGTTTGAACTGGTGCTTGAAGTATACGGCCATGGCTCCAGGGTTTGGGACGTGCAGCTAACACAGGATTACATCATCAGTGTTGGAGAGGTGCATTTTTGTTATTAGTTACCTGTTAGTTACTCATTAACTACGTATCGTTTACAACCACCAAGTCAATTACAGTTGTTCATTTACACTTACCTGTAACACTTGGCAAAGGTTTATTTAGACTGCTAGTAATTAACAAAAAATAACTTCAGCAGGCTGGTAGAACATCAGATTTGGGATTCAACTAGTACCTTTCTCACCTTGCATAAAACATTGACATGTAAGGCAGTAGTCACTGCCCTTTTTCTTGAATCACAGTCAATAAAATACTGGTATTCACCGTATTGTTGATTTGATCAAGATGATCCTTTTGGAGCATGGACACAATGTGTAATTCATTATACATGCACTGTGTTTTTGTTTGTTTGTTTGTGTGTCTGTGCCTGTGTGTGTGTCGGTGTGTGTGTCTGTCTGTGTGTGTGTGTGTGTGTCTGTGTGTGTGTGTGTGCAGTAGACAGTGCTTCTTTAACATTTAGATTGCACTTACTTCCAGGATGCCCAGTGCATTGTGTGGAACATGCAAGGTGAAATAGTCAAAGCATTCAGAGGACACAGGGTAAGACATGGATGTTTACTGTCCGTGCTAGAATTAAGCATGCTTGAAAACAAATTGCAAATTGTCTGCAGTCAGATGTAATAGAAATGAATGTAAAGATTAAGAAACAGTCTGGAAAAACCTTGATGTCAGATATTGGCATTTATGGTCCCTCGGAACAGATAATATATTACTCTAGTTGCATGTCTGTCAATTTGTACTTGGAAGCCAGGGGTGTATGGGGTGTCCTGACGGACGAACGACAACTTGGAAGCCAAAAATATGTTTCAACCTAAGTCTAAAAATGTATTTCAAAAACAGGCTAGATGAAAATGTCAGCAAGCTGTGATTATGTTATGTTCTACTATTTTCAAGGAGAAAAAAATATTAGACTGCTAAAATAAGCCCTGCTAACCTATATGATGTTATCAACACTTCTACCCTTAGGGAAATAGCATCTGGAGTTTGGCTGTCTCTAAGCAACTACAGCTAGTGGTAAGCTCTTTGATTTGATTTTTTTATGAAGCAATGATTAATATGCAACTGGGATTGTACATATTGAATCCAAGGTGATTGACCTACACACAAAAAAAATGCAGAATTGTGTCAGATAGATAAAGAAATGATGCCACACCATATCAGATGACAGCAATTACAAAAACCTTATGGGTGACAAGAAAGAATCATCAAGGTGATTAAACTACAAAGAACTACTAACACACAGGCAAAAAAAACAGAATTGTGCGAGGTACAGTACTGTAGATAATGATGTCACAGGATATCATTGATTGAAATTAAATGATCTATCATTACAAAACCCTTTAGGGTGACAGGAAACAACCAAACCAGTTAATGACTGTTTCCTGGCAACGCGTGCATGGGTTGATGAAACTGACAAAAATTATTAAAACTGCTGCAGGCTATAGGTTATATGACAAGACAAAGTGTAGATCACTGAACTGAGAAACTCACCTGTTTCAATACATGTACCTGTCAAAGAAATAATGAATGAATACCTTTATTGTACATTTGTGTTCTACAGAACTAAGTACAGGTCGCATGGGTACAGAACATGAACATACGTGTAAGCGTGTCTCAGTTATCATGATCATGATTTATTATTTAAAAATGAAAGTTGACAGTACGTTGCCTGATACATGTATAATTTACAGTTTCAGGTAATCTCACATGTGAAGAACACAAATGAAATAAAAAGCACTGTTCAGTGCCTTGAATGAAGTGTACAATGCATAAGCTCATTATCAAATGTCCTGGACAGGCCACAGGAGGAGGGGACACCAGCATCAGACTGTGGAGACTTCCTGACTCAGCCACGCCTCAGTCAGGTCTGTATACGTAAAGGAAAGCAGCAGATACTGTCATGAACACACATGTATTTGTAGTCACTGTGTAAGTCCAGATACATGTACATGATAATCTGGGTTTGTACTATCATGTATTATGTACATCCAAGCAGACTGTTCTGGATTGAAAGTTAACTGAATTCTACATGTTAATGTTGCTAAGGCATAAATTGTATGGATGGCATCCATGCACAAACTGATTCTTTGACACTGTGTGGTAGTCGCAAGTGTACAGCTACCACACTACTGTCACTTTCTGCACTCTGAAATACAGGAATAAATGACTTATTGGCAGTGATACCATATTTTGTCACCACATGTACGTACACGTCTTAATCTATTTAGATGTGGTCCAATACAATATACATGTAGAAATCTTTTGTGCCTCAGTTTCACTTGCACCAGAGTAGCTTGATCAAAAAAGAAGCCCGCCCACATACTGTTACCTTAGAGAAAAGAAGCCTGTGGCTTCCCTTTGTAGTAGTTTAACCTTTAGAACGAAAGGTACATGCCTGCTAGCATTACCGGCTCACCACTTCAAAGCTTTGATGTGTTCAAAGGTAATTTAGTTCTCAGCTTTGTGGCTTACAGATCGTTAGGCAGTAAGTCTAGATACCATTGCTAATTGAAGATAAAAGACTGGAATTAGATTTACTTAAGACTGGAATAATATGTACAGACTGGGTAACTGGCTAGGTATCAAAGTGTAGACTTAGTTATCCTTCGCTAGCGTTGTACATGTATTCTACGTCTTACAGAATGAATGAGTGTTCAGAATCTGTCATTACCTTTGTAAGGTGCAAAATCATTTTTGCCTACAAAAAAATCTCGTATACTTTGAAAAGAGCATTCACCTTTAAGAGTCAATGCATATTGCCAAGAAATTGAGCAAGCGTCACTGCTATACAAGCCAATCAGAGACATACCGTAGGAACATACATGTATGAAGATAGCCTGGCTTACCTACCAATTTAGCCATGCCAGCATTACTGGTATACATGTAAATCCATGTATATAGCCTTTGTATGTGATATTATGCAGATGTTTTACAAACCCATTTCAAATTATATTTTTGACATCACTAAGAAATGAGAAGAAGCCGAACCTTTGTATTAGAGTAGTTTTAGAGCTATTAATTTGTACTACAAACATGTATATTATACCCTTTCGTCTGTTCACCTGTACTTAGCCCGATAGGGCATGAATGTACAATAAAGGTTATTATTATTATTAATAACAAAACATGACCTACCAGGTACAGAAACACATCATCAAAGCTGTATTTTCAATAAATTGAATTCTTTTTCCTTCATAGAGGCAGTTGGGACATCCTCTACCCTGGATCTGCCATTATCTTCGGGTGATTTCCCTCGATCCCTTGCATCTTGTCTGGACCATTTATTCCTTGTGGTAACAGACCAGGGGTAAGGAAGCCTTGTGTATACAATTAACAACATCAGCTCTATATTATGTGTGCGACAGTACACTTACGTTATAGCTTCAAAACTGCTTTACTCAAGTGGTCATGGTGGTAAGTTATTAGGTACAAAATCAGAGAAACATTTTGCTTCAGACTGGTAATTGACCAACTTCCATGCTTCCTTTTCCTTCCTTATGTCTAGATCACTATACAGCTACAACACTGCCACCTGTCAATGGAGCCTGGTACTGCAGGATCCTGTCTACAGCTCCTACAGCCTATTGGAGGTTTCTACTCAAGGAATGGTTGCAATGGGCAGCTTAGCAGGGACAATCAAAGTCTTCTTCATAAGTAAGGACTAGTGCTGATGAAACATAGAGGTTACATTCTTCAAAATCTTGTCCTTTTTGTATACTGTTTAACAATTTACAATGAAAGGAAAAAGTTCATATGGACATATGCATTGAACATAGTGCAGTTGATGGATGCAAACAAATATTTGAGAACTCTCCTGAAGACCACCAAAAGAAATATTTTGCTCAGTCTAACAAACATTTAAAACTGACAAGATTCTCTTCATTGCCTGTGAAAATCTATAAGTTTTCTGACTGTTTCTGTCCTTTGTGTGACAGGCAAACCCAGTGCATGCTGGGAAACTGCAGTGTATGATGGGAAGGTACTGAGCTTAACGTGGATGGAACAGAGTGCTGAAACTGTCGCTTCACCTGGTCATCTCTTGTCCTGTGGACCAGAAGGGGAGGTGGTAAGTTTAACAGTGTTTGTGTTATTCATTTTCAGTTGCCAAGATAGGGCTGATCAGCCATACTACATGTAGATACTGCACATGGCCACAACACTGAGTGGTACCATCATCTCTCAAGATGGAAGGATGCCTACTACTAACTACTACTACTACTACTACTACTACTACTACATTTTGTAGTTACTTCTTATACACACAAGTCTGGCATCTCATGTCACATATTTTGGTAACATGCTGATGATAATGCTGAATTTATCAAAATCAATATGACCAAAAATCAATAGTAAGAGGTCTTCTGAATAACTTTGTCCTGCACAGATCTGGTGGACCACTTATACTGGAACGGAGGCGGGTATTGCTGTCCAGAAGACAGCCACTTTTCAGCTGCCCTACAGCAGACAGCGCTGGCTAACCTGTGCACTGCTGTCACAGGCGGACAGCACAGTTGTGTGTGGGGACAGGAGAGGGTCACTTCACTGCTACAGGAAACAGGAAGGAGGTCAACCTACTCAGGTCAGAACCCAATAACACTGGCCATTGATAATGTGGCCTAAGAAAAGCATGCTGGAATGAAAACACAAGAACTACCTCCATGCCTGCTACTCAGTGTCCCAAACATCATGTGGTGCCTACCTTGTGTTTTATCCCTCTAGAATTGGCAACTCGCAGCACTTTCGTACATCTGACGAACTCAATGGTGATTGAAGTCAACATTCTTGCATCACAGTTTCTGTGATTTTCTTTTTCCAGCCCTTCCAAAGTTTGCTGGGTATCCATGGGAAGACCGGGGTGACCTCTGTGCAGATGTACAGAAGCCATGTGTACAGTACAGGCAGAGATGGTCACTACAGACAGTTTCAGCTGTGTGGTACAGGACAGCAACTGCTGAAAAACAACAGAGTGAGCATTTTGCCTGCAAACTTCTTACTTTGCCCAATGTCAGGGTTTATCAACTGTTCTTAGTGTATGATCATTGCTTGGCACCAATGATTGCTGAAGCTCTTGAAACTTCTGCTGTTTTTTTTTAATTCACTGTTTTACCTGAACATGAATGTGTGAGTTCTTCCAACCACAAAGTTAATGTAATAAAATGCTCTAATAGTGAGTTTGAGTTAGTGTGAAATACCTCATTTCTTCCTTCCATGAAATCAACCTACCACAAAAGTAACTCTATTTACTGTGAAGGTGAAGTTCATCTAATGAAGTTGTGCCTTTCCTTTTTTTATTTAGGTATACAAGGGCTTTGATTGGTTAGAGAAACTGACCTTCTCCGAAGGTGGAGAGGTGCTTGCAATGGGATTCCACACTGTAAGATGTTCTACTTATTCTGTCTCCAATTTTGAAAGGTTGGAACAAATGGAGATTCACCTCTTGTGTTTCTACTAACATCTTGTACTGTACAGCATCTGACCTGCTTAAGAAAAATATGCAGGTGCTTTTCTCATTAATAACTAATTAGTACATGTAGTAATAATAAGTAATGTGTTACATGTAGTATTATACTATGATAAACCATTCCATAAATATCATTGTTAATATACATGTGCATCATTATGATATCATTTTGCAGCATAGTACTTAATAGACAGCTGTACTATTTTTACCTGTAACTTAAATTCATTTTGAACTGTACTATTTTTACCTGTAACTTAAGCAATGCCATAGAAATGTACATTCTGGACTAAAGTACATTCTCTGTACATTCATATTGCTGATCTTGATACCCATAACTCCTATCCTAATTTCATACTGTATCTTGGATGTAATATATCCTGTCTTTTACAGTCCAATTTTGTAGTGTGGAGTCTGTCCACCAATGAGCCCCTGCTGCAGGTCCAGTGTGGGGGAGGGCACAGAGCATGGGGCATTCTCCCCAGCTCCTGCCAGGGGGCGCTGTTTTCATACATCAAAGCTCGATCCATTCAGCTGACAAAGGGGCCCTCCATCTCAGGCAACAAGAGGCTCATTCTGAAGGTTGGTGTTGAATTTTCTAAATGAAAGCTAGTAAATAGTCTTCTCTTGTCAATTCAGTCTACACTAGCATGTCTATATTATGTTAAGTTAATGTTGGCTACATGTATATGTACATGTACATGTATTTCTTGCAAATTTAGATCAGACTCAGAGTTACATGTAAGCTTAAATGACATACATTTGCACCAGTAATGTACATGTATGTAATATGTTGAATTTTTCACTGTATTAAAAAAGAAATGTTCTGTAAAAATGAAGACTTTGATGACAAAGTATTCCTGATTCACTCTGATCCCACCTCAGGACAGCTTACATGGCAGAGAAATTACCTGCCTCAAGTTCCTTGGCTGGGCAACAAACAATGAAGGTTAGTGATCCTCACACTCAGGCTGTGATTACCTACATTATACATGTCAAACATGTGCTGCTAAAGATAAAACTTCTCCTTTGTGCTACTAAAGATATCCTCTCCTTTGTGCCGTGTCTAATCATTTTTCTTCTTCGATCTGCAAGTGTTTAGTAGTGTGGAGAGGGACTGTTGGAGTAAACTGGAGCTAAAATAGGGAATCCAATATTAGGCTTTACTTTTGAATATCAATTATACATATTGCTGACCAATCAGTATATTGCACTTACATCACCTCTCACCTTTTACTTGTTTAAGTTAAAGATTGCTAGTCATCCCTTTTCATTTGCATGTAGTAATAGACAATACTTTCTTTTCAGGTGCTCAACATGCCATTTGTGCCACATCAAGTGAAGACACAACCATCAACATTGTTGCACTAAAGTGTATCCTTTCTATTAATGCATGGGAATGCCATGTCTCCTAGATTCATCAACTGAGATAAAGCTAAGCTACAGTTTTCAAATATACCAGGTACAAATGTAGATATAAGAAATGAAATATAAATGTGAGAACAATTTGGATCCATATGGTAAAATGTTTGACCATGATTTCTGTGGGTTAATGTTTCATCAAGGAGGTATCAAGTTGCTATCAAAATCCTATAGAATAAGAGTTTGTCAGATGCAAATACTGGAAGTTAATACATGTTGTGTTTGTGTGTCCTTTACTGGAACACAGATAAGCCACTATCTGAGCTGGTGGTATTGGACTCCATTCAGGACCACATTTCCAGTGTCCGATGTCTTGCAGTCTGCCCACAGCATGCCACCTCAGGGTCCAGCCAGTGTGCCAGCTCACCAAAACTACTCTTCAGCGGCGGGGGCAGGGCACAGCTCAAGTGTTACAGGGTGTCTGTGTCCAGCCGTTGTGGCTCGGGTGGTGGACGCAACAGAAAACAACGCTCTAAGAAAGATACATGCACAGCTCAAAACATGGAGACCAACACACAACAGATTAGACACCTACCCAAAGTAGATGTTCCTGTCAAAGAGACACAAGGTTGTACGAGTGTGGACAGACTATCAGACACATCAGCTAGTAAATCTGATCCAGGAAACAACAGGAGAGTACAGGAGGAAAGCACTGATGACCATTGTGATACCACTGATACTGAACCGACCACCTCAGATGTAGAATGCCACATTGAGTACCTCACATCCCACAACCTTGTAGAGAGGAGAAAGAGGAAGAAGAAGTCTGGAGCAGCTCAGCTTGAGGAAGAAGAAGAAGTGGAGATGAGATACATGGCACTGACGGCATGGCAGGGGAGACAGGGGGAGACACATGCTGCTCACCTGTACTTCGTGGCAGCTGCTTGCTCAGATGGCTTCCTTAGGTAAGAGAACACAATCTCACTGTGCAGCTGCATGTTTGTCATGTTTGTTTAGACAGTTACTGGCTGTGATGGAGTGTCTATGTGGTCTCACGAGATATCAACAGTTCATTTCCTCAGTGTATTCTCTCTCTGCTATGCTCATGACAAGTAAAAGGACTTACATGTATTTATGGAAGACTATACTCATGATACTGAACAATTGGACAAGACAACATGTTCATATAGCCTGGTTACCAAACCTATTATTTGTGGAGAGGATGTAGGACTCGGGAGCTATAATAGGTTTGGTAACCAGGCTAATGTTCATATGTTGATGAAAGATATCCCAATGCAACATTATGATTTTCCTTACACTGTAGAACTACAAGTGAAACTTAACACTTCTTTCCTTCCAGATTATTTGTGTATGATGACAGAGATAGAAGGATGCGGCTCTTCTGTGTGAGTGACTTCCACCACCACTGTGTCCTCTCTGTGGATCACTTCTTCACTACAACACCAGACGGAACCATGCACACCTATGTCATATCAGGGGCCACCGGTTAGGGGCATTGTTTTCTACATTGTACAAATGCATGTGTAGGATTCACAATTTTACCCAGATGTTGTTAGCACATCTATGTGTATATTTTAATTATAAAATTTGACATAAATTAAGCAACATTTACCAAGTTGCATGTTCTTTTTTGTTATATCTTCCATCAGATGGACAGACTGCTGTGTGGAATGTAACACCTTTTCTGTCTTCTGTGTATCATCCTACCCACCACGACATCAGGGTCCCAGAGATGGTAGAGGCGAGTGCTAAAGTACCACAGATTCTGTCAACGGGAACTACAGAATCACAAGATGGCACAAACGCTTCAACAATAGACTCACCTGTTCTTAAGATGAAGTTAAATTCAGGTTTCCCTGGAAAGACTTCCAAACTGAAGATGGACTCTCCCGATGTGTTACTGAAGAATCATCAGTCAGGAGTGAATGCTGTCAGCATACGGAGGGTAGACAGTGAGTACAACCCTTCCTTCAAATTCCACACTCTGGCATCATGGACCCTTTACTAGTCACTCACGCCCCCTTTCCACCAGATTGTTAAAAAGTTAAAAAATTTAAACAGTTAAAAAAATTTTAATTGGAAATTCCAATGATGCGCAAGTTTGATTCAAGGCACAAAACACACAAGAGCTTTGAAATTTATTGAGCAAAATGTTTTTCCCTGGTCAGTCCCTCAGTGGTGGCAGCCTCTAGTGGAAAGTGGATGTACATAATCTTTTTCTGCCAGCAAGTTGTTTACACTGGAGAAATAAGTGTCAAAGCTTTTAGTAAAAAAACAATCCACAGAACACCCAATAGTATATATTGTAAGACTGAGTGCCTAAAGTTTCAGTGCAATCTTGTCAACATGACATGAAGGTGGCTTAACTTACATGACCTTGTGTACAGGTGACCATTACCTGCTAGCCAGTGGAGGAGATGACAACAGTCTGCAGGTTACAGTCCTGGCTGTGCAAGAAGACACTCCTAATGAGCCTGTCATTGTTACTATGGCAACCAGCTCTGTCCTATCTGCTCATGCTGCCACAATAACAGGTGTGTGCTTGTAAAGTGGTACAGTAACTGTAAATGCAGAAACATTTGCATGTATTTTGCAGTAGGCTGGAGGGAAAATGTAGCCTGGGTACCATCTGAATTTTGGAGCAGGCTAGAGAAAATGAGGCTTTTGTGATGTTAAAGTTTGTTGTTGAAACAGTTCTGTGGTACAGTAGACTTACAAAAAACAGATGATAGCATTGTTTTGATTTGGCTGTGTGACAAAAAAAATCACACTACCACAAAAGTTTCTGCATTATTTTACAGTATTGACATGTTCAAACAATTAGCAACAGACCAAGAAGAATCATAAGGGAAAAAGCACACATATGTGGTGGTCAATTTTCATTGGCTGCTTCCTTGTCTAAGCAAATTGGATGTTCTTATAACTCATCAAATTGAATCTAAATTTGCTTAAACTTTTCCCCCCACATTTTCCGTCACCCATTCATGTACATCATGTATGAATGGTCAGTCGGGAGAGCATTGACCATGCAGTTGGTAATAAAATGTATAGCACTAAGTCTTGTTGATAACAATATTGACATTTGTGTCTCTCCAGGTGTGCACATTGTAGATAACTGCACCATCTTAACAACCTCTGTGGACCAAAGGATGAATATGTGGAAGTGCCAATTGATTTTAAAACCCACAACACAGGTAACTACATGTATAATTTTGTTCTTTCATTTTGATTTTTGTTCACATTTATGCTGTTATTCTAAGTACGTACTACTGTTTTAAGATGGTTGTGTTAGAAATTGCTGATACTTGTATTTTCTCCAGTGTCACCTATCTTTCCTACATGGGAAGTTTTGCCACATTGCTGACATTGCTGGACTGGAGTGTTGGAATGATGAGTATGTAAAAAATAAATAACACTTATGTTCATCTACTATGCATTGTTAAGAGCAAATCTGTCCTTTTGATACCCTCAATGTGGATGTCAAAGCAAACAACTAAAAAATGAGAATGACAAAAAAGCTGTACCATCCAAGCTGATTCTTAGATATTGTTTTAACATCACTCGCAAATGTTTAATGGTGAGACCATAAAGTGTTACTATAGTGAAATTCTTACCTATCTTGGACAATATCTGTTATTTGTTAAACTTTCCAAAGAGTCTGACATATTTATATGCCTCTTCCTTTCTCCCCAGATGTGGACAACTGTACATTGCTGTGTGTGGGCATGGCATACAGATACTCAGCTCTACCCACCTGTGATCTCAGCATTTCCTGTCCAGTGTACTTTAAAACAAATTGTACCCTCATCATCAAGCCCAAATGCGCTTGTTTTAAATGTAGGACATCTAACATTGTTATTAAAAAAATCCAACCTGCTTAAAAATACTGTCCCCTAATACCGAGTAGTAGTGTAATATGCTGACCCAAAGGTGCTGTATAAAGGTATAAAACAGATCATCTGACAAGTTAACCAGTACATTTGTATATAGGCCACACCGACTTAATTATATGGATGACATCCACAAGCGCTTTGATTTTCACCTGTGAGCGCTGTGATTTTCAACAAGTCCTCCAAGGTTCTGGCCTGGCTCTAGGCCTGGGTAGTCCATGGTAGTTAGTGACAATACAGAGCTGGTGGTAACTCTGGAGGATGGCACCCAGGCTGCAGAAGCTCCACGGCAGCAAGAACTCAAATTCCTCAAAAAGCAAGCATGTGCTGGCTCGTTGTATATTTGCGCTATGTACTGCCACAAATTCACAATACCTGAGCTTTGCATTCCTGTGGTTTAGTAGCATTTTTATTTTTGGCCGGAATTTTTTTTCATTCCCCTGTGCGCACTAGTTGGGGGCCTTCAGAGGATGTCATTCATAAAATTTAGTCGGTGTGGCCTTAAGTGAAATCCATGCTGAAAATATTGAATCACTAATTAAACAGATCTATAGTCATATTCTGTGGCCAAATATACATTTTGTATGTGCTACCAGGTTGTAAAAAGGCATACTACATTATTGCTCCCAATTTTGCCACAGGTTTGACAGTTTTCATTAATGAGCTTTCATGTTTCTTAGTTTGTTACATGAGGTTTAGGGATAGATAATCCAGCATCTGTTTCCATAATAATGATAACATCAAGTTTCTGACCTGACATTTGCACACTAGAATTGACATGTGGGAGAGAGTGAGTGTGCATCATACATGTTAGTCACACTCTAATTCATTGACTTCATAACAACTGACATTTCTGATGTGGAGAAAATGTGGAATAAAAACAAACATTCAGAGGAAGAAGGAAGTATGAAGATAAAAATGAAAATAGACAGTAGACAATTCAGGAGCACAGAAACTCTAATGTTCATAATTTTATGTGAAACTGGAAAAAATATGAGTTTTGACCTGGTCTTGTGATGATTTGGTCTTGTGATTATCATTACTTTAAAGCTTGCATATTGTTGGTGTTGCCCCCCATATGACCCTGAGTCAGCATAAACCAAGGGCAGCTCAGTCTGCTCTGTGCACCTGCACCCATTCATGACCTGTAATTGATGTGTTTTTGAAGATGTCTGTTTCCTCTTCTTGGTAATGTGAGCACACAGAAATCCCCTACCAGCCACCACAAGGACAGGGATGAACCTCAGGGTGCCGAGTTGCTATCAGCCTTGAAACATTGACCCAATTATATGGTCAGTGACATTCAATGCTAGTCACATGTTTTCAAACTTACTAATATGGGAAAACTCAAGGTAAGAAAAGAAAATTTGGTGTGAAGCAAAAAATTCATTTGTCCAACACAAGTTTTTGACTGTCAGCGAGGGACAGGGAGTCCCTGGCGGTTCAAAAGAAATCAATTTTGGGACACAAATTGGAAAGTATCCAAGAAGACGATAATTGATGAGCCTCGTGATGAGCCTCGGGGCCGGGTGCTGACTGAATGCTCAGTCAACACAATACTTGTACTTGTTTGTAGAGTGCACCTGTAGTTTCCTGTGTATTATCAACCTGTACATGTATACTCAACGTTTTAGCAGGATCTATTTCTGTGAAGGCATTTCAAAAGAGACAAACATGAGTAAACGATGCATTTGTACAAGAAATAGAATCAGAATGCTGCAAAATCACTTAATGAATTACTTACTAGTCATCACTTTTACTGAATGAAGAGTGATGATTATTACATGTGCATATGCACGAGGCGGTGACTCGAGAGGAAGACTGACGTGCATTACAGAAATGTGAGATGATGGTGAAAATATTTGACGAATTCTTGGCTACATATCCTCCATTACCACCATAACACTGTGGTGTTTTGGGCTGAGAGCAGATCAATCATGACACAACAAAATACATCCTCATTTCCTCCACCCGACCCTTATAATCTCATGACAAGCACGTACTGTTTACTGACAGCCAGTACCCCTGGCACGGCGTTTCCATCATGATATTGTATGTTTCTGTTCCTTAATTAGTTTGTCTAAAATATATTTTACATCATCTCCAAATACAGCTGTCGCTTGGCTCAGTTTCTACTCGGGAAACGTGCGTATGTAAACGATGCCGAACCAGAGAGAGAGAGAGGACAGAATGAAAATAACCAAAGTCAAATCATCTGTTCTTTTCAAACGTATACCTCACACCTCTACATGACTTTCAACAGCTCCCGCGAAACACCGTGTTGGAGACTCCACATGGTCATGAGGGATACTAGTAACAACCTTGGTCTTGGTACACTGATTGAAATTGTGCTTCATTTTATATGGAGATTTAGCGTTACCGCTTTTGTGGAAGGATTTGTTGTGATAGTTTGTGCAATGTCTACATATGCATGAAAACTACTGCGTAATGTGCTGTGTACTACTTTGAAAAAATATCCACTGAGTAAACCTCTAATCAGTTGGTAGGCGGCAGTTTGTAACAGAAACCGTCAGCAAGGTAAACTGCACGATTTGCCTTTCAATATCTGCTTGGAACTTACCCTGATGGTACTTGAGTAACCTTGGACAAGGTGTTGGCAAAGTCTTCTCACTGCGCAGGCGCTAAGTCTAATAAGGTTCAATCACCTTTAATTGATCTATTTTTAAAAAGTTTGTTTCCTCTTCTTGGTAATGTGAGCACACAGAAATCCCCACAACAGTAGAAAAAACAGTGTGGATGAGCCTCAGGGTACCTGATCACTCGTAAACAATCGGCCATTCTACTCTGAACTTCTGTGCTCTTGACGTTCTCAACTTTATTTTGTCGATATGAAGAGGGAACTAAGAAAATAAATACAAATGTTAGAACGTTGGGATGTCGACAACCCACAATTGAATGACAAAGTACATTTATAGACAAACACGTATATGCACGTACAAATTCACGCATACGCGCGCGCGCCCGTGCGCACTCACGCACACACAATCATACGCACACATACGCATACACACACACACACACACACACACACGACCATGTGTATACGCATACACACAGGGATGGCAAACGTGGGGAATTCTGTTATATCTTAGATTAATCGTCTATGTCGCCAACTTAAATATTCTCTCTTTTCGCTGTGTGAGCGTTCCCATATATATGGGCTAGCATGTCACATCCAGAAGTGTCAGATCACAGGTGTGGGGGAAGTGTGAGGCCATTGACATTTCAGATATCAGCCGTGCCCGTGTACCAGTTTTTCTTCGTTGTTACCCAGGTTGTTAAGTCCGGCGCATGCCTAGTTTGTTTCTACCGTTCACTCACCTTGGTGCGGGATGGAATGACAGTGAAGTGATGATTTACAACTTTGGCAGCAGCAGCTGGGTGAACGTTTTGCAACGTTGGCGAAACACTTCATATGAATACTACTAGTATATAAATTCTCTGTAATGTGCACACAAAGAAATCCCCACACCTGCAAAGACAAAGGCATGGAAGAACCTCGGGGTGCCTGATCATTCATGCTACATAACAAACGGCCAGTCCACTCTGTTAACTCTGACCCTTCTGATCTTAATCGATATCATCGAGGGAGAAAACACAAACAACATTTCACTTTTAGTTAACTTTGAAATGACGAAAACCCACACAGTCTATTGAATGACAAAGTTTCTACCGTTCACGCAGACTTGTTAAGGAACATTTTTGACATGAACATGAAATTAATGCGCGGTGCAGATTTACAACTTGTCACCCTTCTAGAAGATTCTACCCGTTTCCCCTCGGGGTTTTTGGCAAGGAAACGGGTCACGTTCTGCAGCGTTGGCAGAAAACACCCTCATTTGAATATATAATTGTTCTATTTTTCCAAAATATCGTTTCCTTGTCAGACACTGGTCTATTGTTTTGAATGCCAATAAATACGCAGCCGTGCCGCTGATACAGTCAGATCCTGACGGAGGACGACTAACAGAGGAGCTCAGCACCGACCGACCTACGAGCCATCCAAGCTAGCGCCGTGCTCATCTCAGCGATCCACCCTCGCAAGCGCCAGTCTCAGTCAGCGGTACGCTACTGTGTCTTGATCGGCATATAAACAGGTTATCATTTTATTTCACTGTTCAGCTTTTTTGGTGCTACTTAGACGAGAGTGATTTTGTTGTACAGTCTTGATCATCGAATACTGCATGGGGTAAACATTGTGCATAGCCAGGCGGACCTGATGTGTGAAATGTGTGTGCGGAACTAAAGTTTTGCTGATACAGTGTACTATCTTTGACAATATATAATCTCCAGGCCAAGCTACATGTAGGCTAGGCAGATGCATGACTGATTTGTTATGTCGTTTTGCTCATTTCGGGAGTCTCTCAAGTAGCGCGTTTCCCCCTTGGACCTCCCGTATAGAGTTTTAGATCTACAGTTTTTAACACTCATTTGCTATCGAACCTATTACCAAACATGACAATTACCAAACAGAGATTTTTACTCCTTTCAAAGCTTTGTAGTTACCGTACTAACGATTGTCTGATTTAGTTGATTGATTTTGATTTGTACACCATCCCATTATGTACCTTTGTCATTTCTTCTTCTTATCATTATTACTTTGTTTTATTGTTTCCTTTTATGTGTGAGGAGATAGAGGGCCGAGATAAGTTTTATAACTTTTTGCCCAATCCTCGAAAAATAAATGTGAATAAAAAAAAAATAAATACTAACGATTGGATATCAAATATGGTACACCATGTGCAGCGAAGGTCACCTTACTGGAGCGTTCAATTAAATTCAAGCTGGTTTTGAAGTTGTACGCATCTACGGAGTGGCCTGCCTAAAGTTGTACTGATGCCCTGGAAATGTTCCAAAATAATGATTAAACTACTTACTACTAGTCTACATTTTGAAAACGCTCCAAACCCTTCAACTTTTCCAATTGTCCTCCTCATCTGTAAAGGCAGTGCTGTCGCTTTAACATGGATAAAAACCGGGTCGGACAGAAGTACAAAAGGGCGATGGCGAGAAGAAGCGTTTCGTTTTGGTTGGTCAGGCAATAATGGACTGAGCCTCAACGAAAACTTAATACAACTGGTTTGGGGTCATGGTCGACGATGAATTTTGCATACTAGTAGTCGTTAAACTTCCTTGCTGCGTGGCATTTGCTGGATCGTTTGGCACAATTAAGTCGCAGACGTGCATTTCTATATTTGTGACTTCATTTCTTTTCACTTTGATGCGTGAAGCAAATGTTGTCCGACGAGATATTTGAATTACAGAAACGTACTTTTCGATATCCATGTACTTTTGTGAAGGACACAAGTCAGGTTTACATGTGTTCTGTTAGTAAATGTAGTAAACAATGCGTGCTTGTCATGAGACCATGACGGGAGGCGTGGAGGAAATGGGTAAATTTTGTATTTTGTTGTGTCATGATTGGTCTGTTCTGAGCCCAAAATACTGCCTGCACAGTCTTGTGATGGGCGTGGAGGAAGTATAGAATGTAATTTTTCTTGCCCCATGATTGGTCCGTAATTTTGGCCACGCCTACCAGAGACCACTTGCCTTGCAGCTTGTCATGCGCGTCACGGTATGCAGCTCACGAGGCCCTCCGGGCAGATCTGAGTGGGACAGCTTGACGTGCCCTTAGCTTGGTTTTGCCTTCCTAAGTTGATACACCTGACCTATAATTAAATGCTTACTCGTGTCAGTCTAAAGAACTAGAAGCGACATGACATCAATTCTACTGTTTGTCATCTGCCTATACTTATAGTACAAAATGTAGTACGTTATCAATATCGCCACTAGTATGCGTCTTATTTCCATTCATTCTAAGCTGTAAACAAAATTATAACTACAAAAAAAATACAAGACTATAAGTATATTTTTGCTTTGCTTTGAATTTTTGTTTTAGGACGACAGAAGAATGAGCTACACCGAGGACAAAAAGCCACTCCCTCCATATGCGGGGCCGCCAGCAGATCCTGAAGCTGACTTCAAGGTACATGGATCTTCCAGATCGTATCTTCTATGGTTGTTGTGCTTTTCAATTTTAAACTTATAATCAAGTTTTCGATATACCACGTGGAATGATGATTTTCAATTCGATAATGTGTTGCTGATATTTCTTTCTGAATAGTAACTGTTACACTAGTGTTTTTGCAAAACGTCCATCCATTTTGTCCAGTTTCTGCACTTGGCAATTCCTTCCATGTAGACTGACGTACTTATTATTATAATTATTGTGTATGTAATAGGATACAGATGGACTAACACAATAATAGCATAATTGCTCACCTGTATGCCTCTGTAGAATCTTGCTGACTACCAGAAGAAGCTGAAGAAAGGACTTGTCGTGGGAGCCGTGTTCCTGGTACTGCTGGTGACCGGAGCCACCCTGCTGGGTGTGTACCTGTCCAAGGACTCCAACAGGATCCTCACGGTAAGAACTGTTCTGTTTCATCGACCCTGTGCTTCAGATAAGTTGTGTTGCTTGTGTCCACACCTTGAATGAGTTCCTTTGCTCTCTTCAAAACAATAGAGAAGTGCAGGTGAGGTTGACGGTTAACCTTAGCAACCATAGGCAAACATTATACCTTTTTGTAATCACTCTCCTTGTAGGCCGACCGTAAGCTGAAGTACGACGGGAAGGTCCTGGATGAGAAGGTGGAGGTTGATGTCAATTTGAAGACGGAGACTTTCTACACCAAGAGTGAAGATGGGGAAACCACCACCATGTATGACACCAAAAATGTGAGGATTAGTCAACAATAACTTCGATTTACTTTTGTTATGTAGGTTGCTATCTGGTTTTATCTGGTTGTTGTCTGTTTCCATCTCTTTCTGGTTATATGTTTCTGTTTTTAGTAATGATAACTCATTTTGATGTGGAGTCGAAATTTGACATTTTGATGGGTTAATTATGTATTTCCATCCGTGGTTGTAGGATTTGGCTGCATACAAGTTTACCGGCCTCCACATCTGCTTCGTCTTGGAGGACAGTACATACAACGAGGACGAAGTGGAACAAATGGCAAATGATGTGCAGAACAATAACGAGGTAAGGGAGAACCAATCTTCTTTTGGCTTTTTGGCTTCCTTTTTTTGTAAAAAGTAGTTTCAGGTCGTTACTAAAACAACCGCAGAACCTCAGTCAAAACAGAAGTTTTGTCTGTTCTACAGGGCGAAGTGGAGGAGGCTGAGAGCGGCGGACAAATCAACATCACCTTGGATGAGAGCCGTGGGAAGGTCGACAAGACTATCCTGAGTGAGAAGATGCTCGACTTCTGCAAGGGTCACGAAATCTACTGGGCCATCGCTCGCCAGGAGGGCCAGGCAGCCGCTGAAGAAGGTACGGGCACTTCTATTTGTAACTGTCCAAATGAGATTTCTTTTACCATACATACGAGCATGTATCTGCTGTCTTATCTGTTGTCATATGACTCTCAGTGGACATCTGATCATGTATAGTAACTGAGTTATTGTTGATTTCAGGTGCTGCTAGCAGCCGCCAGAAGCGAGGCGTGTGCCTTAGGTACCGTTGCCGCATTGTCTATTATTACTATTACGGTTGGCGCTATCGCTATCATTGTTATTACTACTATGCGTACTGCTGGGGTAAATGACTTACACGTTAATTTGCCCGTTCCAGTACGGAATCACAGCATTACCGCCAAATGCTTAAAAGCTCCACAAATGTATGTTATGGCACTGTAACACATAGAAATTTGGAATATTGCCATGTGTAACGTGTGAATTATACTAATGCAATGGTGTTGAGATATTGTTAGGTTGGAGAGTTATAACGGTATACAGCATGCATGAACAATTTTTGGTCGAGACTAATGCAATGCAGAATATCAGTTACCAAATGCTTAATTTCTAAATCAAACATATACATTTAACTGTCATTTAGTTTATTTTGCAGAGTGGATCATATTATAAAGCATTTTACCAGGCATGGTTTAGCTCAGTAAGTTTTTGTTCATTGTCACGTCGAGTCTCCCAAACAGTAGATCCGGTGAGATTGTGAAAAACACCAAAGAAAGCATGGCGAAGCCACGATGACAAGTGCATTTATAATTAATGCCAGTTTCTTAGTAATTAGTACTTAGTACTTGTACCAATAGACATGATATCATTAACGGTGGTGGTAGTTGATGTGCAAGGGCACGATAACCTAACATGATTTCGCGGGGTATGAAACGCCGTAAGTTTTATTCAATAAAAATTGAATGGTGAACGATTTTGAGAGTCTGTCCGTTATTGTTAGTTGTCTGTCTGTGTGTGGAAACGAAAGAATACAACATAAAGAAACATGGTTCCACTTAGGATGCTTAATATATGCAGAAAACAAGTTTCCCAGTGGGGAGGGGGGTAGAGCAAAAACACACACAAACCCACATACACACTGGAGAAAAAGATAGAAATGTAAATCGTCGGCTTCGGTCGGTCAATGCATCCCTCCAGCAAGTTGCGGATGCTATGGTATATATTATATTGCGAAATAATGAGTAATTATGATAAAGATGAAGACTTTCCCACAGCTGGCCATAGTGTGACTTCAAACGAGGTACTGGTGTATGTCCATGTCAGATGATAGTAAAATAATATCTGCCCCCCCCCAAGTCTTTTTATTATAATTGTGGTGTAGTTCTGTTATGTATGTATAAAGTATTGACACAACCACTCCCTCGTGCAATACCAGTCTCTATCGTAAGAGGACTCTAGTGGTTGCTAAACATGCAAAGATGTCATATATACTTACTTATACATGTTGCTTGGCAATAAAAAGAAGAGTAGCTGCGCATGGCCTTTGTTCAATTCAGATTGGCAATAGGTTGATGCAATGTAATTTAACCAATTAAACACCTTCCCAAGGATTTAGTTAATTAACTCCAAAGTGTAGTCGCACAAATGAACATGCATGTAAATGATGATAAATGTTACTTCGATTTCTCTGAACATTTTACTTCACTAAAGTTTTGTTGTACGCATTTGGTTATTGCGCGAGCTTATGAGCTAGGGTTTTGAAACCCCCCATGGGAGCCCATCCGTTCTTGGTCTCTAAGATTAGACTATGGGTTGTGCATACCTTCCCACTGCTGACTGCCCAATGTTCCCGCTGCATACTGCTGCAGCGGCACATTCAAGGAAATATACCATAAACCATCACAAATATGGATGCAAAAGTCAAACTAGATCCTGTGTGTATGTGTGTGTGTGTTTGAACATAGAGTATTTAGACTGACCTAGAAACCTTGATGTATAATGCAGAAACAGACCATTTGTTAGGTTTCATCTCTTTTTACAGTGAGACACATGTTTTTCAAAAGTTTATAAGTATTGCGACTTACATTACCGCGACTGTTCACCCACATATCTGTATAAATGCCCTTAAATTGTTGATCATACGTCAAACCCAAGCAGACGTAACAGGTGCAAAAATAACGGTTCCAGTTTTGACCGACTACAGCTAGCTAATCGAATGCATGTGAAACATGTGATGGTGTTACCGCAGCTCATCCGGACCAGATCAGTTGTCCCCGGAACAGAGCCACTGGACAGAACCGGCGGCTGGTCGAGTCGCCATCAAGAGTGCTGCTTCTCGGCTGTATCGGTGGGGTAGTCTTTCCAGAAGAGCGGAAAAAACCGCGCGACATTTTCGTAAGATAATATTTCTATAGACTTGCGCATGTCTACAGCTAGATGTGTATCATAAATAAGATGTTTCTCGACTTGTTAGCTGTCACAGTGGTTCTATGTAATGCGCCATGCGGGAACACAGAAATGTATTTGTGCTTCTATTTACACTTACTGTATTCATCTTGCTGTCTTCAGTTGAAACGTCGTCTTGGAGTATGGACTTCTGTGGAGAGCGGTTGATAGCATTTTTTATTTTTATTTTAAACCAAAGAGCCAAGCTAAATTTTAAGTAAAGCTATTACCTTGATGTTATACAGGTAGGTATGTACGTAAAACATGTATATTCTTCGTCTAGTGTGAAGATAACGCTCAAACAAAACAGGACAGAATGAACTGTGACATCACGGAAGCCAGTTGCTCTGAAGATGACACTACAGCAAACGGAGGATACCCGCCGTCTCCTTGGTCCAAGGAACAAATCTACGACTTGATGGCGAAGAGGTCTCGTGTCTTGAGGTATCACTTCGCAGGTAGGGAAATACACATCAAGGAGGCAAACATAGGCATACAAGAAGAAGTCGGCACCAAGGTCTGGCACGCTGTAAGTAGAAGGATCCTCTTGGAGTGAATGAATGAGAGAGTGATTGAGTGATGCCTTCCTAGGACAAACTGTATATGATATAAATAAAACATAAATATTGAGGGCATTTTAGACGCAATTCCTTCCTAGACTTCTACGTCGTCGGAATTGTTAGGAAACAATCTACGTCAGATGTTGATTTAGTACAATCCTCCAGGACCATTTCCACTGCCCAGAGGTCGGTTAATGACAGATAAACAGACGTCAGATGCATCCATCTTAGTCATTAAAAAATTCTTCCAGATTACAATATCTGCCCGACAAAATATCTGGTCCGGCAAAAAATAGGTCACCTCGTTAAATACTAGTATATTTTAGGACCCTCGGTTAAAATACTCACGCGACGTGATTATTTAGATTACCATACGCCTTCAGCTAGCATTCCTGCAATAGAATTGTGAAGAAACTGCCAGGATAACCCTTTATCTCTGAGGGGGTATCCCAAACTTACGAACTGAGTTCTGTTATCAGAATCAGATACACTATAATTAAGTTATGAATATTAATACCGGCTAGCTCTCCAATAGCCTTGAAGTTAAGACGCCTTGCATTCTACAAAGTTGGGACTTTTTAAACAGCTGTTTGAAATTCTTGGTTCTACCGGGCTTCTAGAACTATTTTTGCACTGGGCTACCATACGCATTTATCTATAGATTAACGATAAATTGAGGGCTAGTGGTTTGGATAGGGGTTGTTGGTATATGCACACACTTAAGGAAGCTTGATTCGCTATCAAAAGGATGAGACAGATTTAGCCATACTAATGCGTAAAGAAAAGTCCATTTGCTAATTATGTCTAGTCTTATCCCATCGATTAAGGGTGAGGCCTTCTGCGAGTTCATCCAGCGCCGGGGACGTCAGTTTGAGGACAAGAAGGTGATTGAAGTAGGTGCCGGGACTGGGCTGGTCGGCATCGTGGCTAGCCTCATGGGTAAATATAAAAGGACGACGTACTTGCTAACTAATAATGGCAATTTTATTTGATATTTCTAAGGTCTAAGGTCTTTGTAATGAGGTGGTAACAAGGCTAGTTTACCATTAATCTTTACTATATCAGCATCTATTGTTTCCATCATATGCGTTGCTAGGTGCTGACGTCACTCTTACCGACCTAAAAAGCATCTTGCCTAATATGGAAGAGAACGTAAAAATCAACACAGAGGGATGCAAACATCGCCCGAAGGTAGGTATTTTATGGATGTTTCTTACCTTAATTTTTCTCCTTGATTTTAATTAATATAATAAATATAAGTTTAAGACTTTTAAACAATGTACCTTACCTCATATAGAATGAAAGGTTTTAAGAACATTCTCCGTTTCTTTCATGTTAATGGCATTGTGCTTTCACTGATTAGTATGTTAAAATATCAGAAAGCATTATTGAGGATACATGATTTTGTTTATACATGTAGGTTTGTGAACTTGAATGGGGAAGAGAGCTCCACAAGTACACCAAAGGCCAGTACGATTACGTCATCGGCACTGACGTGGTTTATGAGGAGCACATGTTCCGCAGCCTGGTGGTGACCCTGAAGCACCTGTGTGACCAGAAGACACGGGTACTGCTGTGCCATCACGTCAGGTGGCCGGACAAGGACGAAAAGTTCATGAAGCTTTTCTCGGAGAGCTTCACCATAGTTAACCAGCGAAGGCTCCCTAAACAAGACTTAACTGTGTACCTGTTCGAGGCTAAACTCAAGGGAACACATTAAAAGGGACTGGGAAAACGGTGTGACACCAACGCCGATTACTGATCAATTTACATGTATAATGTTGTCGGTGCTTGCATAGTTTAACTTTTCAGACGTTAACAGTGGCCTGTCTTTACATGACGCCTGGACAGGTTAGACTTATTCTTTTTGGTAGTTTGCTTTTAGCTTGAAAATGCTGCATTTTATGGTGTGATTTATTCATCTATAAGGAAACATGTATGGTATCAATAGCTTCTTCGTTACTTTCCAAGAATCTTGTCTGACATGTGTTGTGATTATTACCATAACTGTTGTTAACTAAATGATATATTATTTTTTGCCTTTCAATATTATTGACAAAAGATACCATATTGTACTATATATAATATCTTCAAGTACTTCAAGCACGTTTTAAGTTGTAACGTTTTGACTGCGCTTGTTTTAACCGACATCAACATGCTAGGTTCAAGTTCCAGGTCAACCATAAATATTTTTGCTGTTGTCAGTAGGCGTCTAGAGTTTCGTCAACCGATATGCTAGTGGACTTGCTGTTGAGGCCTTGACACCACCATAATATTGCGAAGTCAGTGGTACAATGTAGGAAGAGGATATGATTCCGTTGGAAGAGGATATGAGATTTTCTCCACGCCAAATGTAGAACACGTCCAATAGCTACGGATACAGGGCAGGAGAGCATTGATGTCAGGGATTTGTGGCAACAAAAAGAAATTGAACTAAATATACTGACGTTAGTCGTTGTCAAGGGTGTGAAAGGGCTTCGCGAGTTTTCAGAATTTTCGAATGAAGAAGTTTCTTAATCATCACTGATGTAGTCACCTTTTTGTCAGATGATCTTCCCCGCTGGCAAGAAGGAGCATTCTGCCATCAATATTACGGGTACCGTGTAACGTTAAGTGGAAATCTGGCGCTGTCATTCTTTATCAAAACCGTAGATGGCGCTTTTTACTGGAGGCCACATACACTACAATGATGTAGCTAGACTGTCGTGGTTTTCAAGCCTCGCCACTCACCAGGCTAGGGCGATTACCGAGTTACCTACTTGGCCACCTCAACTTCCTCCGAGCTGAGAGGATTCCAAAGGTAATTGACAGACTGTGAAGGGTGTTTTTGGGACGCCGGAGGACTAGCTTGCCGTTGCGTTTGACGTCATAACCGCCTGGTACCGGATCAAACTTGTCAGGTATTTCCAAAGTTCGCGCCTTACTATAAATACCTCATCTCCACCGCTGTTAACAGTTGTGCGACCCCTCACACTTGTCATCGTGTCTCTGAATCTGAACGCGATGTAAGATTTATCCTCGTGGTAACCACACACCCAGGGCGGAGGTGGTATGTGCTCGGCATACTATGACGAAAGGGCGAGTGAAAACAATGTGTATAGCACAGTGTTTCTGTAAGTATCAGTATACATACCGCATGTTGATATGACCCTGAGTCTCATGTACGTGTAATATTTTGTACACATTTTATCTTCAACTGCTAAGGACTAACAAGACTACCTGTAACTTTCTTGTCATTACACTGTGGATAAGCAAATGGCAGTGCATGTAATTACGTAATAGGCGGTATTTGTGCATTCTCCATCCTTTGATGATATCTTCATTACGTCATACATGTCTTTTTGGTTAGGGTTGTAGTTTACATTATATGTTGCACATCTGCCTGTCCATTATCAGACAGATTAATTTCTGGGTTCTTTAGCAGATTTATAGTAACGTTTACAAACTTTAAGGGTCGTCTTCAAACTTTCAGTACTACTTTTCATCCCTGGAGTAGACACGTAAGGACGTAAGTCGTGGCTCATACGGGCTTCTCCCGCCTGAATGTACAGGTATACTGGGACACACCTTCCCCATTAGTACAGTCACAACGTCTTGCCATATATATGGTCGATGTTACACAAGTAAAGATGCTTACATAAGACGGGATTTACGAGATACTTCATGAAATATTACAACGGACACAGTTGCTCGACCTTTCCTCTAGTTTACAACAAGTTCGGCAAGCTAATTGTCGAGTCTTGACGTGGGGCCGAGCCGCCAGGGCAGTTGTGCCACTCACGAGATTACTGGAAAGCTGGCTCATTCACAGAATATCCTTCCAGCATACGGAGGGGTCTCTTAGACATACCGCCGATACACGAACACCTTGACCTTTCATTCAACGGCACACTTGATATTTCGCCACGACATCTGTGCGTTCATCCTCCGCACACCCTAACGTCAATAGCTGTCTGCTAAGTTGCAAAAATGGATTTCTTAAAAGTCAAGTGGTCCCCAGCGGCGTGGCACGACAGTAGTTCTGGTATCGATCCTTTCCCCGCCGGGCTGCCATGACGTTGATGTGTACGGGAGCACACGACCCGGCGTTCTGTCAGGATTTGGCGGGCTGAAGATGAGCATATCCGCTCGTCTCGGAGTGCTTCATCGCGGAGATGCTGTCACAAATCTCCCAAAGAGCGCGAAAAACCACTTCTGAAGCAAAAATAACCCAGCTTTAAGCTTTTATTTCAGCATTTATGGGGGTGTCCGCATCCTTTGTCAGGAAATGACGGGATTAGCGAGCTGAATGTCTCCAAACTGTACTGCCCACACGACCATTTTGCTTGCCCCAAGGGCCAGTAAAAGGGAAAACTGATCGTTTGAAACCCGGTAGCGAACGCTACAATTGTTCTGCATTATGGAAGAAATATAGTAATGTTAACGTCTGAGTTCCTCAATTGTTTCAGTTGATAAGCGATTAAAACACCAATCGAGGGAGCTCTAAAAATATAAGAGCACGTTGATGATCATGACGATTTATAGAATATTCAATAGTTATAACATGAGTTCCACGACCTCATACTTTCACCAAATGATATGACAAACGGATTATAAATGTTTTTCATTGATTATGACTAAGATACCCATTTACATTAATTATATCAGCTGATCACGTACATACACACGTACACACCAACGCTACCAAACACATTATAACCTTCTAAAGAAGTCACTGTATATCATATTCCTCGGACTACCTCTGATACACCCCTGTTGTGAGGTAACTACCGGGAACAGTACAGAGACATGGTAAGTTTAGCCCTTAATCCAGACAGAGTAGCGCCCGCTATCTGACGGTTACACTTGAATATTCAAGTTTCTCCAAATTGAATAACGGGAAGGTTTTTCTGTGGCGTACGTGCAGCTGCTCGACGTAAGCAAATGCTGATGCCGACTATTCCACCGCCGTCCAGACTACCGGTCCGGATCCGGCAGGTGGAAGAAAATTGCTGTCTGCGAATCCCTACTTACATCCACGCTTTGCTCCGATCCTCGGCATTAGCAGTTGGGCTGACGTACTCGTACAACATTGGGGTCGGCGTCTGCTCTGCACTTGAACCCGGTGGCCACAATTTCTTCACATGAGTGGTATTATTTAGGCTTGTTAGAGGTGTAAGTGAAGCAGAAATTCATTTCATCCACATTTTTTCTGAGAATTGGGCAAGTAATAACATACTTATCTAGGCCCTGTACTCACACGTAAAAATAAAAGTAACATCACCTAAAACAATGTAGGAACATTAATGAAAAGAAAGAATTACATAACGAACTGGTGTACAAATCAAAATCAATCAAGAAAAGCAGACATTCATTGTATCATATATGTTTGGTATGTCTATTTGTTCCTTTTTTTAAATTTTGCTTCTGATGACTAAACATGAAGACAATGCTGCAGATGTCAGCCTCGTGTGCTGACACAAAGTCGGTTTCCCCCAGTCGATTTCTAAATCAATTACGTTCGAGCAGTGGCCGGCAGCGCCATTTCCGGATCTCCGTTCGGTTACGGATTGTCTGAACGTTGATGGATGTAGGCTGGTGGTTTGTGTCCCGCCCACGTCGTCACGGAGAGAAGCTACTCAGCGGCCTTCAGCGCAGCGGTGCAGACCTGGCGACAGCCTGCTGACGTGGAGGCGCGGGGAGACCTGTTCTTCATCTCATCTAGAACTCGTCCCAAGAGATAGAACTTCCACAGCAACTTCCAAGAAACTATGAATCATTTCTTCAGGTCTTCAGAAGGTGTTCCTCTTAACTATAAACTGCACCAGGAGCAGAGTGAGAGACAGGCCTCCAGCTTGACTCGGAATCATTCAACTGTGGGAGGCGTAACTACCAGGGAAAGCTGGAAAGAATATATACATAACTTGGAGCGTTTTCAAGAACAGAAGGCTGTTTGGGAAAATCAAATTAAGAACGTCCGTGTAACACATGGTGTATGGTACGTGTTTTGATTAATAATTATATACAACAGGATGTACGTTAGTCCAGGAGAAGTAGCGCAAAATACCGAACTGTACCGCGGCACTTAAAACTGACACACTCAACAGCTACAGGTTATGCCGGCCATGCCCTCACAACGGATACGAGAAGAAGAGTAAAATGAATTCATTCATGTTTTGATTCGTCCATTCTCGGTGCGTGTAGCTAAATCGGCGTTTCCCCTCACATCGCACGGATGCCTGCCTGGGTTCAGTAACCTTCCTGTCCAATTAAGCCTCTCACAATTGTCTCTAGTGAAGTCTGTGCACGGACATTCAGTATTTATGATCAGATAATTGAGCCATCCCACCGTGCACAGTACCGATCCTATTAACAGTGCGCAGTAATGGTGAATGTCCCTGCCTCCGTGCTCGGCGAGACGGCTTGGATTCTATCAAGCCCGCCATAATTGGCCACAGAGGGGCCCGGCTAATAATTGTTCAATTACTATGTATCTGCCCAAAGTTTGTGAATCTGGTGACCGGCAGACGCAGGGCGTTCCACGCCTACAGGAGGATAACCTTCGCGGAGGCTGAGTGTTTGCATCCATGGGTCTTAGCTTATTTTTATCCGACACATAAATTTAGTGTTGGTGGACATTGATAAATGAGTGGTTTGTAACTGTCTGACAAAACTTCTTAAGGTTATTAGGGTTATGTATGCAGGTTCACCGAACTTTGCAATTGAAATAAGTCTATATGTATTTGTGAATTCAACAGTTAACACAATTAGAAGGGTATTAGCTATAATCAGTTGGTGTTGACTTTCAACATGAGCGAACTTCGTCGTAAGTGTGGCTCAACTAGCATGGCTCATTTCAGAATTTCCTTGGCAAACGTTTCCACGCTTTTGGTCCTATTACCTGTTGCATGCCAGACATATAGCAAAACGTCTGTAGGATTGCGACAATATGCAATGCAGTTTCGGCTGACAAATGCCGGGCATTACGGCTAAATTCTCATTGCGTCTGTGCAGAATGAGAAACATCGCATATGATACGGTCTGTGAAACAGTCATAGATCAACAGACAGCATAGTTCTAGAAGGTCAAGGTGGTTGTAGGAACTTTTGTTCAGAAATTCCGCCGATAAAGGTCAATAAGGTAGACAAAATCTGCTGACTGGCGCCCGCGGGCAATCTGTTAAAAGCAGTACTTCATGTTCGATAAAACCGTTACCCAAACATGCAAAACGTCCTCACCTTATGCCCAGGTAAATCCCTGTAGAGGTACAAAAGTCAAACAAATCACAATTCCGCCATCGAACTCGGCCAATTTGGGCAGAACGATATGATATGTTACCCATGGAGGAAAACTCATGGTGATTTACTCTGGCTATTGTCGTTGTCAGGCATGTGTGTGTTTGACCAGTGTCGTACATACCGTGTAAACGGCTTTGTGAATTCAAAGAAATAGAAATTAAAGCTAAGAAAATCTACTTTGATTCGCCAGGCAGACAGGCAAGCACATGGCGATTGCTGCATGGTCATATCACAGTTTAACCCCTACTTTTGACCCAATTCCATATAACCTTTACCTACAGCTTCCGTAGTGATTTCTACAGATAGCGGATAACAACATCACTTCAAGCTGACATCACGCGTTTACAATCGGTTCAAAACCAAATGGGAATGTCACAACTACGCAAGATCTATTTGTGCATTAACGTTTTGTAATGAATGTAACTTGAACAAATTGCCTTCTGTTGCAATGAATCTATCATTGCCACGCTTTGCATCGAATTACGTCCGTCTACACCTGGTAAGTGACATGCAGCAGGAGATCTAATATAATAGCAGCCCGTGTGGAATGACAACAGACATGTCATAGAACCAACCAGATATAATAGACTGCACATTACGGCAAATTCACGATCACAAGACATAATTTAAACGTCTTTCATTCTGTAAAAGAAGTAAGTCACGTATTTCGTACATTACCAACAGACACGGCTCACAATTTATTGGTTTCGTTGCGATGGATGGTGATTTATTTATTTAATCAGATGCCTGAAAAACTGCCCATGATCACTTACCTGCAACAGTACAGATCCCTATTACATGGCTCAGCTTGCACTTATTTATCTTGTAAGGTCTTTTAAGGTGATGTAATTATGGACTGATGAATTTACATACTCAACGACATTATCGTGACATTAGAATCAGAGCATAATAACTTGAAATCTGTAAACTATTACTTGATGATTCTCCTGACGATGTTTTGTCAGAAGTCCAGCAAATTTGACTGGAAAGTTAAGAAATGGATCTGTATCTAAAACCATAATGCCTATTATAACTGTTCGAGAAAACCTT